GACCACCTCACCTCCTCTCTCTGCTTATGCTGCAGCGGGACCACCTCACCTCCTCTCTCCGCCGGTCCTGCTGATGCTGCAGCAGGACCACCTCACCTCCTCTCTCTGCTTATGCTGCAGCGGGACCACCTCACCTCCTCTCTCCGCCGGTCCTGCTGATGCTGCAGCAGGACCACCTCACCTCCTCTCCGCTGGTCCTGCTGATGCTGCAGCCGGACCACCTAAACTCCTCTCTCCGCTGGTCCTGCTGATGCTGCAGGACCACCTCACTCCTCTCTCTGCTGATGCTGCAGCGGGACCACCTCACCTCCTCTCTCCGCTGGTCCTGCTGATGCTGCAGCAGGACCACCTCACCTCCTCTCTCTGCTGATGCTGCAGCGGGACCACCTCACCTCCTCTCTCCGCCGGTCCTGCTGATGCTGCAGCAGGACCACCTCATCTCCTCTCTCCGCTGGTCCTGCTGATGCTGCAGCAGGACCAGCTCATTTCGGTTCACCTCCTTTCTCTACCGGTCCTGCTGATGCTGCAGCAGGACCACCTAAACTCCTATCTCCGCCGGTCCTGCTGCTGCTGCAGCAGGACCACCTCACCTCCTATCTCCGCCGGTCCTGCTGATGCTGCAGCAGGACCACCTCACCTCTCTCTGCCGGTCCTGCTGATGCTGCAGCAGGACCACCTCAACTCCTCTCTCGCCGGTCCTGCTGATGCTGCAGCAGGACCACCTCACCTCCGCCGGTCCTGCTGATGCTGCAGCAGGACCACCTAAACTCCTCTCTCCGCTGGTCCTGCTGATGCTGCAGCAGGACCAGCTCATTTCGGTTCACCTCCTTTCTCCGCCGGTCCTGCTGATGCTGCAGCAGGACCCCCTCAACTCCTCTCTCTGCTGATGCTGCAGCGGGACCACCTCACCTCCTCTCTCCGCCGGTCCTGCTGATGCTGCAGCAGGACCACCTCACCTCCTCTCTCTGCTGATGCTGCAGCGGGACCACCTCACCTCCTCTCTCCGCCGGTCCTGCTGATGCTGCAGCAGGACCACCTCAACTCCTCTCTCCGCCGGTCCTGCTGATGCTGCAGCAGGACCACCTCACCTCCGCCGGTCCTGCTGATGGTTCAGCAGGACCACCTCACCTCCGCCGGTCCTGCTGATGCTGCAGCAGGACCACCTAAACTCCTCTCTCCGCCAGTCCTGCTGATGCTGCAGCAGGACCAGCTCATTTCGGTTCACCTCCTTTCTCCCCGGTCCTGCTGATGCTGCAGCAGGACCACCTCACCTCCTCTCTCTGCTTATGCTGCAGCGGGACCACCTCACCTCCTCTCTCCGCCGGTCCTGCTGATGCTGCAGCAGGACCACCTCACCTCCTCTCTCTGCTTATGCTGCAGCGGGACCACCTCACCTCCTCTCTCTGCTATGCTGCAGCGGGACCACCTCACCTCCTCTCTCCGCCGGTCCTGCTGATGCTGCAGCAGGACCACCTCACCTCCTCTCTCTGCTTATGCTGCAGCGGGACCACCTCACCTCCTTTCTCCCCGGTCCTGCTGATGCTGCAGCAGGACCACCTCACCTCCTCTCTCTGCTTATGCTGCAGCGGGACCACCTCACCTCCTCTCTCCGCCGGTCTGCTGATGCTGCAGCAGGACCACCTCACCTCCTCTCTCTGCTGATGCTGCAGCGGGACCACCTCACCTCCTCTCTCCGCCGGTCCTGCTGATGCTGCAGCAGGACCACCTCACCTCCTCTCTCCGCTGGTCCTGCTGATGCTGCAGCAGGACCACCTAAACTCCTCTCTCCGCTGGTCCTGCTGATGCTGCAGCAGGACCACCTCACCTCCTCTCTCTGCTGATGCTGCAGCGGGACCACCTCACCTCCTCTCTCCGCTGGTCCTGCTGATGCTGCAGCAGGACCACCTCACCTCCTCTCTCTGCTGATGCTGCAGCGGGACCACCTCACCTCCTCTCTCCGCCGGTCCTGCTGATGCTGCAGCAGGACCACCTCATCTCTTCTCTACGCTGGTCCTGCTGATGCTGCAGCAGGACCAGCTCATTTCGGTTCACCTCCTTTCTCTACCGGTCCTGCTGATGCTGCAGCAGGACCACCTCAACACCTCTCTCCGCTGGTCCTGCTGATACAAAGCAGGACCACCTAAACTCCTCTCTCCGCTGGTCCTGCTGATGCTGCAGCAGGACCAGCTCATTTCGGTTCACCTCCTTTCTCCGCCGGTCCTGCTGATGCTGCAGCAGGACCACCTCACCTCTCTCTGCCGGTCCTGCTGATGCTGCAGCAGGACCACCTCAACTCCTCTCTCCGCCGGTCCTGCTGATGCTGCAGCAGGACCACCTAAACTCCTCTCTCCGCCAGTCCTGCTGATGCTGCAGCAGGACCAGCTCATTTCGGTTCACCTCCTTTCTCCCCCGGTCCTGCTGATGCAGCAGCAGGACCACCTCACCTCTCTCTGCTTATGCTGCAGCGGGACCACCTCACCTCCTCTCTCCGCCGGTCCTGCTGATGCTGCAGCAGGACCACCTCACCTCCTCTCTCCGCTGGTCCTGCTGATGCTGCAGCCGGACCACCTAAACTCCTCTCTCCGCCAGTCCTGCTGATGCTGCAGGACTGGCGGGACTGGTCCTGCTGCAGCTGATGCTGCAGCAGGACCAGCTCATTTCGGTTCACCTCCTTTCTCCCCCGGTCCTGCTGATGCTGCAGCAGGACCACCTCACCTCCTCTCTCTGCTTATGCTGCAGCGGGACCACCTCACCTCCTCTCTCCGCCGGTCCTGCTGATGCTGCAGCAGGACCACCTCACCTCCTCTCTCTGCTTATGCTGCAGCGGGACCACCTCACCTCTCTCTCTGCTTATGCTGCAGCGGGACCACCTCACCTCCTCTCTCCGCCGGTCCTGCTGATGCTGCAGCAGGACCACCTCACCTCCTCTCTCTGCTTATGCTGCAGCGGGACCACCTCACCTCCTTTCTCCCCCGGTCCTGCTGATGCTGCAGCAGGACCACCTCACCTCCTCTCTCTGCTTATGCTGCAGCGGGACCACCTCACCTCCTCTCTCCGCCGGTCTGCTGATGCTGCAGCAGGACCACCTCACCTCCTCTCTCTGCTTATGCTGCAGCGGGACCACCTCACCTCCTCTCTCCGCCGGTCCTGCTGATGCTGCAGCAGGACCACCTCACCTCCTCTCCCGTGGTCTGCTGATGCTGCAGCCGGACCACCTAAACTCCTCTCTCCGCTGGTCCTGCTGATGCTGCAGCAGGACCACCTCACCTCCTCTCTCTGCTGATGCTGCAGCGGGACCACCTCACCTCCTCTCTCCGCTGGTCCTGCTGATGCTGCAGCAGGACCACCTCACCTCCTCTCTCTGCTGATGCTGCAGCGGGACCACCTCACCTCCTCTCTCCGCCGGTCCTGCTGATGCTGCAGCAGGACCACCTCATCTCCTCTCTCCGCTGGTCCTGCTGATGCTGCAGCAGGACCAGCTCATTTCGGTTCACCTCCTTTCTCTACCGGTCCTGCTGATGCTGCAGCAGGACCACCTCAACTCCTCTCTCCGCTGGTCCTGCTGATGCTGCAGCAGGACCACCTAAACTCCTCTCTCCCCTGGTCCTGCTGCAGTAGCAGCAGGACCAGCTCATTTCGGTCCACCTCCTTTCTCCGCCGGTCCTGCTGATGCTGCAGCAGGACCACCTCACCTCCTATCTCCGCCGGTCCTGCTGATGCTGCAGCAGGACCACCTCACCTCTCTCTGCCGGTCCTGCTGATGCTGCAGCAGGACCACCTCAACTCCTCTCTCCGCCGGTCCTGCTGATGCTGCAGCAGGACCACCTCACCTCCGCCGGTCCTGCTGATGCTTCAGCAGGACCACCTCACCTCCGCCGGTCCTGCTGATGCTGCAGCAGGACCACCTAAACTCCTCTCTCCGCCAGTCCTGCTGATGCTGCAGCAGGACCAGCTCATTTCGGTTCACCTCCTTTCCCCCGGTCCTGCTGATGCTGCAGCAGGACCACCTCACCTCCTCTCTCTGCTTATGCTGCAGCGGGACCACCTCACCTCCTCTCTCCGCCGGTCCTGCTGATGCTGCAGCAGGACCACCTCACCTCCTCTCTCCGCTGGTCCTGCTGATGCTGCAGCCGGACCACCTAAACTCCTCTCTCCGCCAGTCCTGCTGATGCTGCAGGACTGGCGGGACTGGTCCTGCTGCAGCTGATGCTGCAGCAGGACCAGCTCATTTCGGTTCACCTCCTTTCTCCCCCGGTCCTGCTGATGCTGCAGCAGGACCACCTCACCTCCTCTCTCTGCTGATGCTGCAGCGGGACCACCTCACCTCCTCTCTCCGCCGGTCCTGCTGATGCTGCAGCAGGACCACCTCACCTCCTCTCTCTGCTTATGCTGCAGCGGGACCACCTCACCTCCTCTCTCTGCTTATGCTGCAGCGGGACCACCTCACCTCCTCTCTCCGCCGGTCCTGCTGATGCTGCAGCAGGACCACCTCACTCCTCTCTCTGCTTATGCTGCAGCGGGACCACCTCACCTCCTTTCTCCCCCGGTCCTGCTGATGCTGCAGCAGGACCACCTCACCTCCTCTCTGCTTATGCTGCAGCGGGACCACCTCACCTCCTCTCTCCGCCGGTCCTGCTGATGCTGCAGCAGGACCACCTCACCTCCTCTCTCTGCTTATGCTGCAGCGGGACCACCTCACCTCCTCTCTCCGCTGGTCCTGCTGATGCTGCAGCAGGACCACCTCACCTCCTCTCTCCGCTGGTCCTGCTGATGCTGCAGCAGGACCACCTAAACTCCTCTCTCCGCTGGTCCTGCTGATGCTGCAGCAGGACCACCTCACCTCCTCTCTCTGCTGATGCTGCAGCGGGACCACCTCACCTCCTCTCTCCGCTGGTCCTGCTGATGCTGCAGCAGGACCACCTCACCTCCTCTCTCTGCTGATGCTGCAGCGGGACCACCTCACCTCCTCTCTCCGCCGGTCCTGCTGATGCTGCAGCAGGACCACCTCATCTCCTCTCTCCGCTGGTCCTGCTGATGCTGCAGCAGGACCAGCTCATTTCGGTTCACCTCCTTTCTCTACCGGTCCTGCTGATGCTGCAGCAGGACCACCTCACCTCCTATCTCCGCCGGTCCTGCTGATGCTGCAGCAGGACCACCTCACCTCCTATCTCCGCCGGTCCTGCTGATGCTGCAGCAGGACCACCTCACCTCCTCTCTCTGCCGGTCCTGCTGATGCTGCAGCAGGACCACCTCAACTCCTCTCTCCGCCGGTCCTGCTGATGCTGCAGCAAGACCTCCTCTCTCCGCCGGTCCTGCTGATGCTGCAGCAGGACCACCTCAACTCCTCTCTCCGCCGGTCCTGCTTATGCTGCAGCAGGACCAGCTCATTTCGGATCACCTCCTCTCTCCGCCGGTCCTGCTGATGCTGCAGCAGGACCACCTCACCTCCTCTCTCTGCTGATGCTGCAGCGGGACCACCTCACCTCCTCTCTCCGCCGGTCCTGCTGATGCTGCAGCAGGACCACCTCACCTCCTCTCTCTGCTGATGCTGCAGCGGGACCACCTCACCTCCTCTCTCCGCCGGTCCTGCTGATGCTGCAGCAGGACCACCTCACCTCCTTTCTCCGCCGGTCCTGCTGATGCTGCAGCAGGACCACCTCACCTCCTATCTCCGCCGGTCCTGCTGATGCTGCAGCAGGACCACCTCACCTTCTCTCTCCGCTGGTGCTGCTGATACAAAGCAGGACCACCTCATCTCCTCTCTCCGCTGGTCCTGCTGATGCTGCAGCAGGACCACCTCAACTCCTCTCTCCGCTGGTCCTGCTGATGCTGCAGCAGGACCACCTAAACTCCTCTCTCCGCTGGTCCTGCTGATACTGCAGCAGGACCACCTCACCTCCTCTCTCCGCCGGTCCTGCTGATGCTGCAGCAGGACCACCTCAACTCCTCTCTCCGCCGGTCCTGCTGATGCTGCAGCAGGACCACCTCAACTCCTCTCTCCGCCGGTCCTGCTGATGCTGCAGCAGGACCACCTCGACTCCTCTTTCCGCTGGTCCTGCTGATGTTGAAGCAGGACCAGCTCATTTCGGATCACCTCCTTTCTCCGCCGGTCCTGCTGATGCTGCAGCAGGACCACCTCAACTCCTCTCTCCGCTGGTCCTGCTGATGCTGCAGCAGCACCACCTAAACTCCTCTCTCCGCTGGTCCTGCTGATGCTGCAGCAGGACCAGCTCATTTCTGTTCACCTCCTTTCTCCGCCGGTCCTGCTGATGCTGCAGCAGGACCCCCTCAACTCCTCTCTCCGCTGGTCCTGCTGATGCTGCAGCAGGACCACCTCACCTCCTCTCTCTGCTGATGCTGCAGCGGGACCACCTCACCTCCTCTCTCCGCCGGTCCTGCTGCAGCATCAGCAGGACCACCTCGACTCCTCTTTCCGCTGGTCCTGCTGATGTTGAAGCAGGACCAGCTCATTTCGGATCACCTCCTTTCTCCGCCGGTCCTGCTGATGCTGCAGCAGGACCACCTCACCTTCTCTCTCCGCTGGTGCTGCTGATACAAAGCAGGACCACCTCATCTCCTCTCTCCGCTGGTCCTGCTGATGCTGCAGCAGGACCACCTCAACTCCTCTCTCCGCTGGTCCTGCTGATGCTGCAGCAGGACCAGCTCATTTCGGTTCACCTCCTTTCTCTACCGGTCCTGCTGATGCTGCAGCAGGACCACCTCAACTCCTCTCTCCGCTGGTCCTGCTGATGCTGCAGCAGGACCAGCTCATTTCGGTTCACCTCCTTTCTCCGCCGGTCCTGCTGATGCTGCAGCAGGACCACCTCACCTCCTATCTCCGCCGGTCCTGCTGATGCTGCAGCAGGACCACCTCACCTCTCTCTGCCGGTCCTGCTGATGCTGCAGCAGGACCACCTCAACTCCTCTCTCCGCCGGTACTGCTGATGCTGCAGCAGGACCACCTAAACTCCTCTCTCCGCCAGTCCTGCTGATGCTGCAGCCGAACCAGCTCACCTCCTTTCTCAACTGGTCCTGCTGCAGCCACAACAGGACCGGCTTATTTCGGTTCACCTCCACTCTCCGCCGGTCCGGCTGCCGCCGCAGCAGGACCAGCTCATTTTGGTTCACATCCGCTGGTCCTGCTGCAGCCGCAACAGGACCGGCTTATTTCGGTTCACCTCCACTCTCCGCCGGTCCGGCTGCCGCCGCAGCAAGACTTGCTCACCTCCTTTCTCAACTGGTCCTGCTGCAGCCGCAGCAGGACCAGCTCACCTGAGGTTTCCACCCATCCTGCTGCAGCCACAACAGGACCGGCTTATTTCGGTTCACCTCCACTCTCCGCCGGTCCTGCTGCAACCGCAGCAAGACTTGCTCACGTCCTTTCTCAACTGGTCCTGCTGCAGCCGCAGCAGGACCAGCTCATCTGAGCTGGCGGCCGGTCTGGCTGCCGCCGCAGCAGGACCGGCTTATTTCGGTTCACCTCCACTCTCCGCCGGTCCTGCTGCCGCCGCAGCAGGACCAGCTCACCTCAGCTGTCCACCGGTCCTGCTGCCGCCGCAGCAAGACCGCCTTATTTCGGTTCACCTCCACTTTCCGCTGGTCCTGCTCCAACCGCAGCAGGACCAGCTCACCTCATTTCTCAACTGGTCCTGCTGCAGCCGCAACAGGACCAGCTCACCTCCTCTCTCCTCGGTCCTGCTGCAGCAGGACCAGCTCATTTTGGTTCACCTCCGCTGGTCCTGCTCCAACCGCAGCAGGACCAGCTCTCCTCAGCTGTCCACCGGTCTTGCTGCAGCCGAACCAGCTCACCTCCTTTCTCACCTGAGGTTTCCACCCATCCTGCTGCAGCCACAACAGGACCGGCTTATTTCGGTTCACCTCCACTTTCCGCCGGTCCTGCTGCAACCGCAGCAGGACCAGCTCACCTCCTCCTCCCTCCCCTGGTCCTGCCGCAGCAGGACCACCTCACCTCCTCTCTCATTTTGGATCACCTCCGCCGGTCCTGCTGCAACCGCAGCAAGACCAGCTCACCTCCTTTCTCAACTGGTCCTGCTGCGGCTGCAGCAGGACCAGCTCATCTGAGCTGTCGGCCGGTCTGGCTGCCGCCGCAGCAGGACCGGCTTATTTCGGTTCACCTCCACTCTCCGCCGGTCCTGCTGCAGCCGCAGCAAGACCAGCTCACCTCCTTTCTCAACTGGTCCTGCTGCAGACGCAACAGGACCAGCTCACCTCAGCTCCCCAACGGTCCTGCTGCGGTTGCAGCAGGACCACCTCACCTCCTCTCTCCGCTGGTCCTGCTGCAGCAGGACCAGCTCATTTTTGTTCACCTCCGCTGGTCCTGCTGCAGCCGCAGCAGGACCAGCTCAACTCCTCCCTCCCCTGGTCCTGCCGCAGCAGGACTACCTCACCTCCTCTCTCATTTTGGATCACCTCCGCTGGTCCTGCTGCAGCCGCAACAGGACCACCTCACCTCCTTTCTCCCCTGGTTCTGCTGCAGCCGCAACAGGACCAGCTCTCTTCAGCTGTCCACCGGTCTTGCTGCAGCCGAACCAGCTCACCTCCTCTCTCCCCTGGTCCTGCTGCAGCCGCAGCAGGACCAGCTCTCCTCCTCCCCTGGTCCTGCCGCAGCAGGACCACCTCACCTCCTCTCTCATTTTGGATCACCTCCGCTGGTCCTGCTGCAGCCGCAACAGGACCACCTCACCTCCTTTCTCCCCTGGTCCTGCTGCAGCCGCAACAGGACCAGCTCACCTCAGCTGTCCACCGGTCCTGCTACCGCCGCAGCAAGACCGGCTTATTTCGCTTCACCTCCACTCTCCGCCGGTCCTGCTGCAGCAAGACCAGCTCACCTCCTTTCTCAACTGGTCCTGCTGCAGCCGCAACAGGACCAGCTCACCTCAGCTCTCCAACGGTCCTGCTGCGGTTGCAGCAGGACCATCTCACCTCCTCTCTCCGCTGGTCCTGCTGCTGCAGGACCAGCTCATTTTGGTTCTCCTGCGCTGGTCCTGCTCCAACTGCAGCAGGACCAGCTCTCCTCAGCTTTCCAACGGTCTTGCTGCAGCCGGACCAGCTCACCTCCTCTCTCCTCGGTCCTGCTGCAGCCGCAGCAGGACCAGCTCAACTCCTCTCTCCCCTGGTCCTGCCGCAGCAGGACCACCTCACCTCCTCTCTCATTTTGGTTCACCTCCGCTGGTCCTGCTGCAGCCGCAACAGGACCACCCCACCTCTCTCCACCGGTCCAGCTGCCGCCGCAGCTGGACCAGCTCACCTCCTCTCTCCCCTGGTCCTGCTGCAGCCGCAACAGGACCAGCTCTCCTCAGCTGTCCACCGGTCTTGCTGCAGCCGAACAAGCTCATCTCCTCTCTCCCCTGGTCCTGCTGCAGCCGCAGCAGGACCAGCTCACCACCTCTCTCCCCTGGTCCTGCTGCAGCCGCAGCAGGACCAGCTCACCTCCTCTATCCCCTGGTCCTGCTGCAGCCGCAGCAGGACCAGCTCACCTCCTCTAGGGATATTCTAGGGATCTTGACTTTTGTCTTTCACTGTGGTATTCCCGCCAGGTTGTCCACTGTTTCGTCTCCTCTCAATTTCCCTCAGAAAAAACATCCTGACTGCCGGTGTAAATGGTGGCATTTGAGGCATCCTTGTCGTTGGTTTAATCACTGGGGGCGTTGGATTCATGTCCGGTGGTGTTGGCTTTACCTGCGGTGGCGTTGGTTTCAGCTGCTGTTCTTGAGCTGTCAGGTCTTCTTTCAAATTTAGCTCCCCTTTGCTTTCACGCAGAAGCAAAATTCTTCGATTTCTAGCTGCTGACTTTGTTTTTGGCAGTTTGAGGGATGATTTGTCAACTGGTGGTATTTGTTTTTGAATTTCAATTTTAGGTCCTTCCATCGCTAAATTGTGTTCTGCCTTTGCCTCGGTCTTTATAGATTCTGTTGAATGTTTGTGTGTCGTCCTCTCTTGAATGTTCAATTTTCTCACCGTAAACATTTGGTTGGTGGATTCTTTAACGTGACCTTGATCTTTCTGCTTGTCGTCAGTTGGTGTCTTTATCTGATAATTTAACGATTTAGTTTCTATCTTCAGCTGTTTCAAGTGAGATGTATAGTCCAAACTTTTCTTTGTGACCATGGCCTGTCGCTGTGGTAGTGAGGCTAAGGCCTTGGAGGAGCTCTTCGCCTGCTGCTTCAATTTCTTGCTCATCTGTCTATCTCTTCTCATCAGACGTTTTGATGATGTCTTTCGCTGTTTCTCCTGAGCTAATACGCTTGAAGTCAAATCGATCTTTGGTTTAAACTCTGGCTTAGTTTTCTCTGTGACTTCCTCCACTGGTGATTTCTTATTCATTTTATTTTCTTTCTCTGCCTCTTTCAGCTGCTTTTCCAGAGTTTTGATCTTTCCCTCAAGAAGTCTGGACCTGTCCTTTTCTCTCATGATCTCACTGTTCTTCATTCCGATTTCGTCAGTCTTTCGGATGAGCTCAAACTCAAGTCTCTTCATGTCACAATACTGCTTTTCAATTTTCCCCTTGTATGCTGTGAGTTGAGACGACACTTGCTTCTTTTCTGACAAAATCTTCTCAACCTGCAGTTTTGAGTCCCTGTCGAGGTTTTTTAAAGAGATTTGAAGCTCTTTGACTGTATTTTTTAACTGGTTTACCTCAGACAACAGCTGAGTCTTGTCGGAACTCCGGTTCTCTACCTCGTGTTTCAACTTTGGGATTTGCTGCCGTTCCAGGTATTTGTTTTGCTTGACAGACCAGTGCAGCTCTTTGGTGATTGACTCAATTTTGTCATTTAGAATCCCAATTTGTCTATGAGCTTTTTCCAAATCCTCCTGCAGGTTGTTCTCCTTGATCACTACCGCAGGTTTGTCTCTAAACCTTTGTGACCAGTCCATAACCAAGAGAATCAATTCATTCCTAGTCATTTGTTTAATTTGAGACTTGGTTAACGAATCAATGTCAAATGCCGACATTTTGACTGTCCAACCGATCGATGTACCACAAAAAAATGCAACGTTAAATCCAAAATCCACCGTCTGTGCTCCTGCTTGAGTTGTGCAACTTTGATTCGGGTGCTGGATATTCAAGTCATCTGTCCCTTATGACATCATAACACTTTGACATCATCAGGGTCCATCAGTGGAATAATTTGATGTATGCTATGTAGCTAGGCAACAGCAAAGCCAGCTCACTCTCCAGCCTCCTCGGAGGCTTTCAGATATATATTTATATTGTCGTGCTTTTGGTTTTCAGTGTGACGCGGGCCTGTGGTAGTTGCAGATGCACGACAAGAACGAAGGGTCTCTTACATGAACTTTACTTCTTCCAGCACAGATGAGTTACAACGACAACCGAGCTGTTCTCACGGAAGAACTGTGTAACTTCTGGCCTCTAGCTCTGGCACTGACAGCAATTAGCTATGTCCGGGCAGTGAGCGGTGAGTGCCATAACCATCAACAGAAACATAACGGATCAACTCTTAGATACTGGTTGCTAAGGTAACCACCAGCTGTCAAGAACAGAATAAACAGAACATAAAACAATGAATCTCGCGATACTAGTCTCCTCTCCCGAGCTGCGCCGCATTTACTGATCTAGGCTTGGAAAACTAAAATAAAGAAATAGAAAACCAAGCTTAAGATCAAATAAAGTGTAACTTCCTTATATATATATATATATATATATATATATTATATATATATATATATATATATATATATATATATATATGTAAGCTGGAGAACGGTTTTAAGATGTACGCCTCTGTATACATTCACAGATACGAAGTTGAGTTTTACTTTCTTTTAACTATATGGTTTACCTAAAATGGTACCCATATGTTGGCCCATTTGGGCTAAATGCAGCAACA